TTGTCATGCACAATAGTGAAATAAATTCATCAGAAAATGGTATATCTACTTTTGTACTACGATGTATATAACCACACGTGAGCCTGAAAAAAACGAAGTATTTGTCAAGATGGAGGTTGTTTCTTTCCTCCACTGTCGCGTCTTCGGAGAACGCATTTTAGCAGGGCTACTATATGACTTTGGCTTTCACAAAATGTTCATATATTAGTTATGCGACCCTGTATGAACTTTGAAAGTCACGTAATCGTCGCATGGATGAAGGGAGCAAGCATGATCGAAGTGTTGTCATTGTAATTATATACATATGCTGGCTATTCTAACAATGACGTCACTAAATTTTGATATCAGAAGTGATCTAGGATGTGAAGTACTCCCAAAAAAGAAGATGGAATACATCAGATTAATATTGCTTTATGTCTGAAGTGAGAGTAGAACATTTTATGATAATAATTAAGTTGAAATTGCTACAATAAAACTTCAACGCTCATTTCATACTGGATTTGTGTCACTGACTCTACACAGTACTTCAGATAGGAAATATGTTATCGTGAATCATCGACACTACAACTTATTAGCAGGCATTATTACCGCAAACTTTAATCAATGTCAAAATAATTAGAAATTTTTCTAAAATTATAGCTGATTTAGTTCGACTTAGACGTAATAATTCCACGCGGCCACTATATGGGCATTGTAACTAAGTTTCATTCAAGAAATCGGCCAATACTTGGGCTCAATGGTAAATGAGAGGCCCAGACAAGCAAGCAAACAAACACTCACACATACAGAAACACACCCACTCAAAGTAAGATTAAAGGCTAATCTTTGCAATTAAGCCAACATAAATATGTTTTCGTTTTGTTTTTATTCCTGTAGGGGCTTGGTCAAGTTTCATCGAAGAAATTGGTCAATGCCCGGGACTAATGTTAAGGAGAGAAGAGACCCAATGAACAAACATACACACATACGCATACACAACCAAGACAAGAGTAAAGGTCGACCTAACTATGCGCATAGGCCAACAGAAATATGCATTTTACGTGTAGGGGCTTGTTAATTCTAACATACATATTCATACTACCCGGTTGAATAACGCACTGAATTTCTTTGAACCATGTCATGCAATATGTCAAACAGACAATAAGGAAATCTCAGTGTGTCGCCAGCATTTTTTTAGTTTTATACCATTGCTTGGCTTCAAGTTCACACAATAGCAAGGAACCAATTCCGAAATCGTCATACATTCTCAAGATACAAGCAGTGCCGGCCTAATACTTGGACAATTTTGGTCTCAAAATTGAATAATGAGGTTTTTGCATGGATGGTCAATTAGCATAACAAATTAACAACATAACAATATTATGAACAATTTGTGGAATAGTCATTTGTCTCTATAGCTGATAGTGGGTCATTATGACGATTTCGTGCTATCCCTGCAAATCATACGTCTTAAATACTCCGCTTGAGTGGTAAATAGTGGAGGAAACAAAACAGCGTCTGGGAGCTAACAAACATTGACTTTCGCGTGAGCTAGTGGTGGGAAGTTCAGCTGATTTTATTGTTGTTTTGGGCGCCTTGTCTGTATCACATACATTTGTATAAGCCTTGTTACAAACATTAGCCTCGTGTTCATGAAAGGGGACTTTTTGATGCAGATTTTGAGGTAAGTGGCAACACGACTAGAAGTAGTCCCGATACTGTGCATGTATGAACCACGTCAGTGGGCGAATGGTTTTATTTTGAATGATCACACGACACACCCTAATTAACATCGTGTGCTTGGTGCGCCATTTGACGGGTTGTCGTTTTAGTTTGCACGATGCTGAAATTAAAATAAATAGTTTGTATAATTTTTGAAATCAAATACTAACTTACATTATCATAAATAAAGTCCAAAAAAAAAAAGAAACCGGTACAACTTAATTATGGTACTGGAAGTATTGGGAATGTTGACCCACCTCACTACTCACTCTAAATGTATCAGTCCGCCATTTCAAAACCAGACATGCCTTGATATGATCACATCTGATGCGCGACTGCTGCAAATCAGTTTAACAAGTTGATAAAAAAAGTGCCGACTTTTGTCTGTCACGTGCATCCTTCTGTCCGGCATTGCTTGTGCATGCCTGGGGCGATTTTCTTTTTTTCAAAGTTAATACATCACAAGTCATGATACATGTGAATATCGCTTTGTTTTATTTTGTTGACCTTCCACTGACAGCCATTAATTGTTCGAAAAATCAACATTTGGACATGTCATTAACCTTGCCTTGACCAATTTCATTAAAACTTAGTCTTTATACATATTTGTAGTTAATATGCTAAATGCTATCTCAATATTTAAACATAATCTGATTATGCTTTTCGATGTTTGACAAAGTCACTAAACACATGACGGGGACTATGCCATTGACAATGACATGTTTTTCAGAATTTACCACCTAACTATAATAAAGGTGTGATATGCTTTGCCAACACAAAAATCACGGAAGAGTTAAAAAGCCGTTCCTGGTGACAGTTACCCATCTTTGGGGTTAAATTTTTCGGGAAAAGAAAAAATATATCAATAAATCAAGCAGTAACATTGTGCCCACACTCAAGCTGAGTAGAATGAGCTATGTTCGAGGCGTTTAATTCTACATTTGTAGGAAGAGAAACCTTTGGCGCTAAGCTACTCAAAAATCAGTGTTTTGGCTGTTGCTATGACAACGATGGGCATTTACGGTTCATTCAACTTATCCAAAATTAAAAGCATGATTATTTGAACACTGCTATTACAAGCCTTGTAGGAGGTTATATATTTGGGGCGAAAGTATTCAAAAATCAGTTTTACCTGCCAAGTATGACCAAAATCGACCCAGCCAGAGTAATTACTGAAGAGTTCAAATGCCGTTACTGGTGACTTTAAAGTCAAATTTCTGTGTAATGAAAAAACAAAATATCAGAAAAACAAATAGTAACTTCGTGCCAACACTCAAGCTGAGAGAATAAGATTGCACCATCTAACTAGATTAAAGGTATGACCTGCCTGAGCGAAATCGGCCTAGCCCAAACAAAATAATACGTCGCCAAAAGTGATTTTAAGGCAATCCTAGCGAAGCGGATCGCTAATAGTGCTATAATATAAGTACTAGCTCGACCATCTTGAATGCAGGTAACTGTTTAACACAGAAAACCCATATAACTCAGAATTTGGACGACCAAGAAAACCACTGAAATCAAACATTTATCTTACCATTATGGATTGGTGATTGGTTTTGTCAGTCAAATTTAAATTACTTAACACAAATAAAGTGAAATAATGCCATATTTCATTACTATTTATAGTCTGACAGTGTCATTGTTTGCCAAAGGATACATGCCTCAATATATCAAGAGGTCCTGTAATTTAAGTCGAGCCAAAACATGAAAGCAGAGGTCGAGCTTTCTGTTGACCTGTGTTTTTTATTCATCGTGAGTTGAACAGAATGAATGCCCTTCTGTGGACCATTGCAAATTACGTCAGCCTCAAAGGTGTTTACCTCGAGACTAATGGCGCTCCTGTAAAATACCTCTCTTTCACATGCGAAACATGCATAAATACGTACACTACACTGGTGCTTACCATTTCGCTTTTTATTTTCCTGCCTCTTTTAAACTTCAGTTATAAAACGTCTCACTATAAGCAATATTAAGCAAAAAATAGTGAAATAATTATGGCTGAGAAAAAGTCTAAATTACCTAAACTTGATCGAATGTTCAAACCTTATGTTTCAAATGTGACCTGTATTTTCCAATCAATTAGACTCGGTGGACTTTTCGACTATTCATGTTATATTCCTTGATATTATTTTCACGGGAACTCTGCAAGTTGTGGAAGTTGCATGGCTTAATATACTGGTCATGATCTGATGCGAAGACATTGTAAAAGCGAATTCTGGTGAACAGTAACGCCTTCTATATGTGGTAATTGTGTAATTTTGTGAATAGTTTGAGGAATAAAGATACACAAGTACATCCAAGGACAGTATCACTTTTAAAAACATGTGACGCGCGAAATCAGTTTACACTGAGTAACACCAATGTACAATGCACGTGAACCCACACTCAAATAAAATGTATGCTATCAGCTGTACGAGTAAAGTCTTAATGATATAAATAATACAATATTTAACTGTGTACAACCTGTGAGGTTCTCATTATGTTGTGGCGAAATCGCTCTTAGATTTTTGACCAATAAGTTATGTTTTAGTCATGCTACTATACACGATTGTTTAATATAAACAGCTTCTGTTTACGTTTACCACAACATCCAGTCGTTGCCAGGGAGTTGATTGCTAGCAGGAATCTCAAGTCGTGGGAAAGGTGTGAAATAGGTTAAAATCACTTTTATAGAACAGAAAGACTTGCCCTTTGCTAACCAAAAGTCATAAAAATTGAAAAATTTTCAGAAATATTCGAGTCAGTCTACCTTAGGCTGTCAGTAAAAATCATGGTGCGATGTTGCAATCCCGTGGTCAATATTCAACGTGTTGTAGAATTTAACCAGTTATTTAAATGAATTGTTGACAGGAATAAACATGTTCAGTGTGATTGGCGATCGACAGAGAGGTTATGTAGAATGAAAAAGTGGTGGTTTTTGCTAAATATAGATGACTCACAGGAGATTATAATGTATATAAGACTGTGATATCAGACATATTGGTATGTGCGGTATGGTGCACGTCTTTTATTTTTAATGTTGTGCGTCACATAAACCTCCCACTGTCGTGGTCTAAGATCGATACCAAAATAACCCTAGAGTATCGAACATTATGCTCCCGGGAACCCATTCCTTCTACTTTAGCTGTCGAGTTCCGCATCCGGGGAGTGAAAGAGTCGTCTGTACATGTCTGAGGTTTTCTAAAATTGTTTCGGAGTAGTGAAATTGAAATGTCACGACTATTCAATAGTTATTCGTGTACCAGTCCAAATAAAATGATTATCTTTTTCAGATAAACGTTTGTAAAAGTTTGTTCATAATGTCCTACACTGATTTGGAATCGTATGTTGATGATACTGAGTTTGGTAAGTAAATTTTATACTACATAAACGTTTTATTTGATGTATTCCTTTTATTATCTATTTTCCACAAAACTTCAACCCAGGAAACTCACCATGATAACGTGATTTCAAAAGAACACATATCAAGTTCAAAAATTCGTATAGCACTTTTTAGTCCCCATTTTTTTTTATTATTAAATGTTTTTTGTGCCAGGCGACAGTTCCGGGCATTGAATGTCTCTCCTGACTTTTTTTGTATGTGCAAATTGCAAGTGCTAGTGCTGACACATTTTCATGTTTGGGACTACATGACAGGGCTGTTTGGGCATCTCTCTATCAAATGACAATTTTATTTCGTTATCCTGGCGTCAACAAGACTCGGTCGAACACAAGCACCTGCGGACCTTAACCAAAGGTTCTCCCAAAGTAACTTTCGTTAGTGAATGAATCTTGGCCAGTGGAATAGGCCTTTGCATTAAGTCTGTGGCACACTCACACAGGGTAGGGGGTCGACCCTTTTGATGTTCAGCCTAAGGAAGGATTTGAACCGGCCATGTGTCTGATGCGACAATTTGTTATGTGCAATATAATAACCACATTCTGTATTTCTCATGTATTTAGCTTTATCTGGATTTAAAGATGAAAGACAAAGAGTGTTTATTCTCTGCGCCAATGAGTCGAATGAAAGCTTGATACCAGATCGTATCATTTCACCTCTGACAAAAGATGGGATTCCATGCTTTTATGACCGCAGTCAGTTTCCTCTTGGTTATACCAAGGATAGAATATACCGAAAATATATACAACGTCACTCAGTAACCATTCTTCCAATAACCAAAAAGTTCAATGAAGAGTTCAGTGATGCCTTCATTGAAAAAATATTTCCAGTAGACTACCATTTAAACCATTTGGTGATATGCATCATCCTGGAGACAGGTTGCAGGGTACCTACCGTATTTGAACAGTTAACAATGTTGGATTTCAGTAAAGGTCAGAGTGAAGAAGACAATATTAAGGTGGAAAAAAGGATGACTAGAGCTATTAAGTACAAAATTGAGAAACGAAAGAGAAAAAAGAAACTGCCATCAGGTAAAACAATTTGTCTTTATATCAAAATAAAATGTGTAAATGTGTCAGGCAATTAATTAATTGTGATTTTATTTCTTATTTTTATTCAATCGGTAAGTTCGGGCATAATATATATGACATATTGGGTATTTTAAGCCGATTCTGTTTTATTTTAATCATCATCTCAGAGGGAGATGTAGGGGATGTAAATATAAAGGACGATTTGGATGTTACAACAAATATTGAAGTTCCAGTTGAGTATGTTGCAATTGATTATTTTGATAGTGGAATGAAAGAAGGATTACTTGCTAGGAATGACAAAATAAAAGAATCAGGTAAGTTAAATATCTTCTATTCGCAAGACAACAACAACATATATACTAACCACATCGTAAGTGGTTTATTGGATGGATGGAGGGATTGATTGGTGGATAGATGAAAAAAGAAGGAAATTAACAATGTCAATTGTTTTATTATTTTTACCTATAGAGAAGCGATTCAGTCGCCACAATCTTCCACGCAAGTATGCGCTTGGTATCACTGCATTTTGTAAGTTCTATGTAGGGTTGCAAGATCTGAAATCAAAGGCAGACGTGGAGGATTATGTATTGTACAAAGTTTTACCCAGGGCATCAGTTGAGAAGTTGGCTGAACTTGTATGCCTCAGTACATCACGAGTTCAGATTGCTGTTCTAGAAGCCATTAGGGAACGTATTGATCTGTGTATAATGCCTATCATATTCAGTTGTAAAACTACGCATGAAGTTATATCTTCAGTTGTTAGTGTTGAAAAGACACTACGCGAGTCTTTCAAAAGAACCGAGGAGTATCCTGTCATCCGTGAGAAAATACTAACATACAAGGTCGTAATTTCCACATTAATAAATGCTCGTTTAATGGGGGTTCTGTCAAAAAAATATCTTCCAATTGGTGACTTTTCTGATATTAAAGCTCTGCTCAATTTATATCTTCATCCTGTATCTCCCAACGATTCTCCGTGGGAAAGTCAGACTGGGCTTGAAGTGGAGTGTGACTTATATTTTTGTATTCACGCACTACAACGAATACAAGAAGACAGTGATAATTTATTAGAAACGAAAGAAACTAGATGTACTGAGACTTTCGTATCTCCTGCCACATACTTGGAATCACTGTCACAAAAAGTAACAGAAATAGACAAGGGAGATAGAGGTATGATAGTGGCAGAGGAAATATCGAATACTGACAAGTTTGCAATACTGGCTACGATTAGTTGTCTTGTTCAAAAGGTAAGGCTTGTTACCATTCTAATGTACTACTGTACATTCTCATTTGCCGATATTATGTATCAAGAAAACTATATGTATGCAATGTTAAATTAGGCAAGTATTTTATTTCAGATAATTGTCTCAACTGATCCTGATGACAAACTTCAAAGTCTAGAATATCTTGGATTTTTAATGTACAAGCTAAACCAACAACCCATATGCAGGGAAAGTATCCTTGCATTTTTGTTAACTACACTGGTGAAACTACTGGAATCTTCTAGGGATGAAGGTAACTATTGGATATTATGTAAAATTATGTTTATTTACAACATGGTTTTTCATAATTTTTTTGTAAAATTTGCTTTTATTTGTTGTAGACTTTTGTGTGAAAGTTATTGAAGGTATCTCTGACAAGAAATACATTAGTGTGACCAGTGTGTCAAACGATATCCTGTCCACCTCGAATCACTGGCTCAGGCAGTTTCATAGCAACTCTCTTGGAAGTTTAATATACCATCCCCTTCGCTGTGTAAATAAACTGGCTCACAGAAGGACAGTACTGAAAAAGAGCACATCAGCTGCTTTACTACAAGATGAAGATTCTACAACAATGGTTTCAAATCAACAACTTCAAGAAGTCAATCAACAATTTATTCTCAAGAAGTGCCAAAAGATAGGGATGATCAGCACCAGCCATGTTACACCAGTGGAGCCGAATGATAATACATGTGGACAATGGAAGTGGAGTGGTCTACTTTTTGGGTCAATTGTTTGCGTCAAAGTTCCGAGCACCTTGGAGGAAATTCGTGTTTCAGAAGAAATAAGCCAAACTCATAGCCACTCATCATCAGAAATGTTTCTATCCGAATTATCGATGTTACGTAAGCTACAGAAACATAACAACATACTCGACCTGTATGGGTTTTGTCGTCACCAACTACCAATGTTCACAATAACTGGATATTTTGAGGATAATCTTCTTGATTACCTAACAGAACATACCGCACGTGACAACTTCTTATCGATGTATAATATGGTACATGATATCTGCATCCCTGTAGTATCAGCCATACAGTACTGCCATACCAAAGATATCGTGCTACGGGATGTGATCGCCAAAAATTACAGAGTGAAGATTGAAGCCAGCAAGAGAGTAAAAGTGAAATATTGTGAGTTCAAGTTGGCAAGAGAACTTACAAGAAATAGTGGGGAATATACTAAGAATATCACATCCAATATAGAGTCGGACATGACATCTTTTTTAGGTATGTTGTGTTCTCGTTATTTGGTCAAATCGCTAGAAAAAACACCATTATGTAATCAATCATATCTTGATATCGACCTGATATATGATACTTTATTTATACATCTTAGGTAATGCACATGATAATATTGCCAGGCGCTGGAGTGCACCAGAATCATTCCAAGCTCCTTACTATTTTTCACGAAAATCTGATTCATGGATGTTGGCATGTACGTTGTATGAAATCTTAACACATGGATGTCAACCTTACACAGAGTTATACGGAATGTCATCTGATGAAATCGTTCTCCAGGTAAGCTCAAGCACTTGCAAACCATAAATGTAGAATTATATGAATATATAATCCAAAACATCAAGATCTAAACCTAAAAACAGTTCGATTTCTAGTGATCAGTTATGGTGTGATGTATTTAAATATTCTCAATAATGTGTTATGTTTCACATAGGTTATTGGAGGGTGCCGATTGAAACAACCAGCATGTATACCAACGCCAATCTTTAGTATTCTGCTTCATAGCCTCATTAAAACACCAAGTAAAAGACAAAGTGTTGATACCCTTCATGACAGTTTGTTGAAATACTCCAGGACTATGGCTAGACCAGGTAATGCGAATACTTACTACTGTCAGTACTATAATCATACAATTCATTTGTACGAACTGTAACAAATGTGATTTTTATCTGCAGATCCAGCATCCAGACAAGAATTACATAAACCTCCACCAAGAGACCACAATCAGGGTTCAGAGCCAGACAGGGTATTCATTGTTATTTTAGTTCCCATACAACTACTTGACGTGCATCTTAGTTAAGTGTCTTACGGCAATTGTTATTATATTTTTTTCATAATATTAGAACTGTCTTAGTAAAAACCTCTCATCTTTACATTCTGTAGGGTATTCCACCGAGTATAAGCGACCAAAAGACATCACGAATACCACCACTGTGTTCTATGAATGTGAGTATCAGGAAGTTACAGTACATGATTTACAATAGACCTAGGCATAAATTAGTGGGTACTAAACCAATGCGAAAATTCAATTTTATGGTCCATTGGTTTATCTTACCGTGGTTACATCCTACAACATTTCCCAGGCTTGCTAAGAGGGCTAGATTCGTTGGAAAAAAACAGAATCATGTTATTATTGATTGAATTTAGAATTTAAATGAGGAGCCCTTACAGTATTTAACCATATTCATAGTCTGTAATATCTTCCTTATTCACAGAATAAGTTCCCGTGCAATCTAGAAGATATCACTGCACCTGATGTACAGTGTACTCGCGGCCATGTCACTGCCGATAAAACTTCAATGGTTTGTACAGGACACATCTCACACACAGTTTGAAACATTGTTGTTCAATTTGACTAGACACTCTTAAAGTGCAACCTTTTTTTATAAATATGATTGTTACAGATTCGACTAGAAGAAAAACTTCACAAGGGATTATTTGCACATGGAAGACCAAGAGAGGAAATCAAAGTATTGCTGCAATTATCACATCCAAATATTGGACGTGTCCTTTCATTCCATATACAGGACAATATAACCATTCAAGTATGAACATAATTATTTTACATATTAGAAAAATTGTTAAGATAGTGGAAAATTATTCTGTAATTCGGTATACCTCCAAGCATTGGTAAATATTTACATGGTCATTGTTTCTTCTGACAGATGTCGGAGTATCATAACGTGAAACGAAATATTCTATATATAGCCCTGCAAAAGGAGCAACAGATTGACCGTGACAAGTTGATTGAGTACCTAACCCAAGTAGCATCTGGGATGGCCTATCTTCATTCTGAGGACATTGGTATTTTGCACTGCGATCTAAGGGCAGCACATGTATATGTTACACAGTCGGGACAGGTAGCTACAATACTCTAACTATGACATTGTTTCTGTTTTTGTTCTCACTTGATTGACCCATATCCCCCTCCGTGCAATTCACTAACAAATCACTAACACCTTAGCATAGTACACCTCGTTCTTTTCTTCAGGCAAAGATTGGCAGACTGGGTAGAGCATGCCTGTTAGAATTGGGATTATATGACAGAGGACTATATGACTGTGTTAAGACGAGGCAAATGCAACCAGATCAGATACGTTGGTATGTTTCTGATAACTTCAATACAAGCTTTCACTTGTGTCAGTCAGTCAAAGATATTCTTTCTCGTTTAATTATTTTAAACATCACAGACCAATACATCAGCTCAAGTTATTACTTTGTGTAATTCTGTTGTCAATGTAGGTCGCCAATTGAAGTTGTTTGTGGAAACATATACTCTCAAGCTAGTGACATTTTTATGTTTGGGCAATTGTGCTGGGAGGTATTCAATGCGTATGATGCGGACACAAGTTTCCAACCCAATATGCTTGTACCATATCCTCATTCAGCGGACAATGAAGTAAGTAATTGCAGACCTTATCAAATATCCAAGATAATAATCCAATACTTTATAATTGATGTGGTCTTGTTGTTTGAGTTGTTTAAAGCAGTGGAAAACACATGTTTTCACCGTTTTCAATTTACATAAACCAATTTCTGCACTTTAAAGATAATAGTATTTCAACAGTTAGAAAGAACTCGAATTCCATGATTCTTACTAATATCAATTTTAACTCACAGATCAGAAGTTTACTTGCTCAGCGAAAACACCAACTACAACCGCCATGTTGTCCAAACTGGTTATTTAGGTTGATGAAGAATTGTTGGTTGGATGAACGAGAAAGAAGACCTAGCTTTAAAGTTATTGAAAAGTGTTTGACGAAAATGTGAATATGGGTAATAATTAGACAATCTCGACAACGAAACGGGGGAAATATCTACGATTATACAATTCATGTAGCAATGCGTATCTAAACTATATAAGAAATAATAGTATAGTTTATTTATATAGCTCACAAATGTAATATTGTTCGGTTATTACAGGAACTTGACACCATTAGGCACTCCCGGGCATGTTTGTGCCTCCTCCACGGTTTATACAAAACTTGAAAAGGAGGATGAAGATCTGTATAATTATTATATAATGGGGACTGTCAAAGACCAGGAAGATACTGATCAAATATACTACACTCGTCGTGTTGTTCAAGATAAACTACTGGCCAATACAGACAACAATTATGGGATAGGCTCACTCATCAATGAGTCATCAGTGCCAACAGCTACACAAAATGAAACAGAATCATTAGTAGTTCGGGTAACAGATCATGAGGTAATACATAATGATATTTATTTTGAAATTGTAATTCTTTCCATTGAAATTTAGAAACTCGTGCTAAATAAATGTGATACATTCTAGTGCTGATTATATTCTACAGGAGATGGAGGAAAACCACTCATTTGCGCATACTGTTGCAGAATTCGTGACATGCGCATTGCACGTAGGACAGATTTATCACACAAATAACTTGGTTGGAAGTCTATTTGACGCAAGTGGCGGCTATTTGAAAATACCAACCCAAGAAGTGAGCCTTTACATCCCACCTGGTGCCATCGAGTATGGCGATTCTAAACGCGTTTACTTGTATATAAAGAAGTCTTATCAGGATGAATTTCATTCTGGCAAATGCGTTCTTACCCCAGTAATCAGCTGCGGACCTGATGGAACGACTTTTCTTAAAGATGTTATATTGTCTTGTCCTCATTCAGCAGTTAATGAGAACTCTTGGAAATTCAGTGCGGTCACAAAAAAGTCAGGTGATCCTTGGGTCACTCAGTCAGAAGATACGTTTTTGGTAAACGACGGACGCGTCTTCATTTTCCTTGAGCATTTCACAGACTATCAAATAGTTGGTGAAGCCAAAGAAGAAAGCAATGCCCAGCGACGCATCAAAGTGGGCATGCGAAGTGAGCCCATCACCGATACTTGTATTCAAATCAGCATTGGGGTTTGGTGTGATACTTCATTAGACCCCGATCATTCGTTACAGGTAATGCACTGTTCATTTCTATCGTAGACATCAGGCTGCATATGTTTGCATAAACAATCGGAAAATACTATCAAAAATATAAATGTCTAATACACTAAAAATAAATTCACATACATAGTAAAACGATTTCCTGCATATACTTAACCAGCCTCATATGTTTGGCATAACAAACTTTTGTCCTATTTTCAGCATCAGTCAGAAACAAAACCATGGACACAGTGTCGATCCTTGGCTATAAGTGTGAGTGATATCAAGATGAAAGTGCACATAAAGCATGTTGATGAGCAATGGAAACAGAGAGGAGGATCTTTGGAAAAGGTTCATTATCAATGTCAAATGACTCACTTACTTACGGTTCTTAATTTCGTATTCCACGCGCTTACATCGCAAAGTGACAGTTCAATTTAACATTTAATTTATGTTATTTTTTTTAAAGTTCATACGTTTATCAGACCTCACATCTGACCAAGATACACAGGAAACGTTCACGTTCAAGTGCGTTAGACAAGATGACCTTCCAGACGATTTTTATTGTATATTATGTGTATTCTTACCAGATTCGGATTTTGAGAAAGAAGTAGAGCTATGTGTCCCTCGTATTAGACAGGTGAGACATATGATTTATTTACAGGAACTATAAATCAGTAATATATTATTTTTTTCTGATGTCACTACTCTGAGGAGATGTGTGCGCATATGTATTAAGTGATTAGTTTTAGACTTTGTACAAAAAAAGTATGATGTCGGAAATATGCAAATGAATTTTGTTTTTGATTCGACCAAATAAATCTATTTTAGAAGTAAATACTTACGTAATACCTTATATTTGATTTCAAGCACACTTGGTTTGACGGCAATACTTGTTGGGTTGCAGATGCACGTTTTGTTACTTATTTCTCTGTTATCCTGGCATGCAATTATGTTCAAAATTAATTCATAGACATCGTTTAAAAAGATAAACAAGCCCCTATTTTTCTTTAATGGTATGATCGCGAGCTGGTAGTCATTTTGATTTATTTTGATAAATCCCAACCCTTGAACGTGTCTGCAATTGTTTCTCGGACATGACTGGATTGATTTCAATGAAATTGGTATTGTGGGTGGCAGATGCACGTTGTTGTTTTGTCAAACCTAGTAAGCCCTCACTATGTCGTACAATACTTATGCATATAATTTAGTTTTTTTTATCTGATCAAATTTACTCGATTTTTTTAATACAAACGTTACATCATAATACTTGAATATGTGACACATATAATACATGTGCAGTCAATTTTGGAATGACAAAACTAGTGGTTTACAGGCCCACGTTATACTTTTTCGGAGATTCGAGCCAAGATTTGGTTTTTCCTTTGTTGCTAGATCAACATTCCTTTAAACTTATTCTCAGTAATTGCATATAATTTCATAATCACAGAGCATTTGAATTCTTGACAGGAACTATGCCATATTCTATCACTTGTTCTTTTATTACAGCCTGGTTGTACTGATTATAGTTGCAACGTTGATGATATGACTTATGCCGAATGGTTTAGGGCAACCAATGAAGACTGGACACCTCAAGATAATCAGATCAGCAGTGACTTGTGGAGAAAGCTCTGCGAAAATCTTGATGTCCAACGGGACTTCCAGTCAGATTGGAGAGGTCTTGCTGGTAAGTTGTGTCTTAAAGCCAGACACGTCCATATATTGGGGACCAAGAGTAGCCCAACAGGCCGTTTACTTGGCATATACTTCAGTAAAATGCTTCATATGCAGAAACCAATACTACATGCATTAGAAGAGCTCGTGACGATGTTTGATGAAATGAAAAACCACGAAGCAAGAGATGATGTCAAAGAATACATAGCCAAGACACCGGGAGTGAAGAAATAAACTGTTGGGACGGAATCCGTATAAATTGGATATAATGTTGATATACATGTTGTACTCAAAAACAACACCCAGATGTCAGTGAAATAGCACTAGCGCTAATAATAAACTGTCAAATAAATTTGAAAGCATATCATTATATTGAGCCTGGCTTAAAATTTTATTACTTTCCTCAAAATAATAACATCTGTAACTTTACTCGCTTCCGCGTTCGTGTGCATATTTAGGTTAGATATTAGTCTTGAAATAAGCCTCACTGTTTACAATATTTTTTTGGAATTCTATATTAATTATATTTCTAACAGTAATGTACGTGATACAATATAATTGAATAATTATGAAAAACAATTATAGTATAAACTATTAAAGTGTATATAGCACATTTGGAATCAGTTATTGCCTTATTGTAATAATTATACGTCCCATAATAAGTGCATCAATTAATTTTAACATTCAATCTGTTAAGTTACTAATCAGATATGAAGATGACAAGTCATTATCACTGTATAATTAATTCGGCGACAAATTTCAAAATATGCCATCAGGTATTAGTTTCTTTACGCTAATAGTATGTATTTAATACATCGTCATTTCTTGTTGTATCTGTAGGCCCTGTGATGGTAAAGGGTTATAAACAATGACACAGAATACAGAATACTAATTATCAATCGATCTCACCATGAATTACATGAAATTGTCATGGTAACAGTAACCAATAAGGCCACATGACTGGATCATTCTGCAACCCAAACCAAAGCATGTGATATTTTTTACAGTTTTTTCTACAAAATATTCGCGTTATACAACACAACAATTATTAATAAAAGTTAAAATATTAAACACTTGAAATCCGGAATTAGCCTACTAGCTCTTATTAGTCTTTTTATGTTCGTGTTAGTTTAGCATGGTCACCGAGTTCATTTTTGTTGAACGAGCTCTGCAGCCAAAAATAAATGTATTAATTTACTACAGGTATGTACAAATTTTATCACAATGCAGATGTATTTAAATGAATTTGAAACTTGTATTTAATATGATACCAGAATAGGAAAATCATACATTTATAAGAGAGTTTCAGATACTCAACTTTTCAATATTGCCAATGAAATTGTAGTAGCACTTTGAACATAAACATACTTTAATTGGGAACGTAGATTATATATTTGAGTGATATTAATATTTTTTTTTCCATTTTGTTTACTAGATCACTCAGTTGAACTGTCATGTACTGATATTTCCATTTATATATTACATATATTTTATATTTACACAAGGCGAATTAAGTTTTGTATTATCGCGTGTTGTAATCACCACAATTACTATGATATTTTTCATGCAATGGTGCCCGTCAATTCGAATCAAGAATTTCCCGATAGAAGTGTATTCTAATATACTTTCTATATTGTTCTGCGTGCAGATATGTGCTAAATGTACATAATTTTGATTTACGATAATTAGCCTAGTCACGCGTGATTGCAAAATGCATACGAGAAACGGTATAGTGCTCGATTGGATTTCGCCCACAATTTCCATATGTTTTTCATGTATATGTTCCTGATGCCTTGTATTAATTTGATGTTACAAGATTCAAAATAACACCTAACAGTCAGGCAAAATCAGAAAAAAAGCTTGTTTGTTGATAAAAATGCATTTGATTTTTTTATATATTAAAGATTTAATCAAATAAAATTGTGTTGATAATGTTGTTGCGTATTAGAGAACATGTATGTTGATATGCTTAGTGTATGAATAGAAGTCATCGAACTGGTGTGGACTAGAACAATCCTATAACCCTATGTACTGAAAACGTCACGGTGGTTGGTCACGGAATATTTATGGCATCCATTTCGAAACTTGCTGACTTCTCTAAAGTATGAACAATATCTGAAAGCCGTCTCCAGGAGACCTAACTGGACATTAAAGCTGTAGGTAGCGTTATAAATGAAAGCTTGTCTCTTCACAATACGTATGTTGAATTGGTATATATTTATGGGATATAACCGGTACTGGTGTTATTTCACAAACCAATAAGAGCGATTGTCGTGTAATATAGGTGCTATGTAATACAGGACGATACACTTTGTGGTTGTGAGCATATATATCGTAGTTCCCGGCCTCGTTACGCTATGGAAAGAGCGCCCTCACATCAGGGCAATAATTTCCCGGCCAAGCGCGCTCGGTTTTCATCAATCAAAACAAAACCCGTCATTCTAAATTACGTCACTAAACTTCTTAGCAAACATTATTGCACATGTAGAACAGTTTTTTGGTAAGCTATTTTTCGTTTACTCAATATTGAGCCCAAACCATGTGTCAATAACAAGCTTGCTATACATTTCAAATAAAAATGGGGAATGGTCCTGGGAACATGGGATTCGAAGTAACAATCACATCAAAAGCACTTCGCCACCACTGTAAGCAGATATACACACCAACAAGCTAAACGTACATAACATTCCGCATATAGTGACAGGAACTCACAGTGCCTAGATGGGCATGCCTAATTCGAATTTTGGACATCATAAACAACGGGCAGAAAATAGGTATGCACTTGTCTAAAGCCCAGTATGCTTTCATGACCAGAATTTATGACTTACGCAGTTAACATTGCTCCTCTGCACTCGTCTAAAGCCCGGTATGGTTTCATAACCAACATTTTAAACCCTACGCAGTTAAAATTGCCCTCAGAAGAATTCTATCTACTACAGACACGAATATCTGTGTTGATCTAACATCGTATAGTAGAAATAAACCGGGGTTGAAGGCACTCAATTTCAAAACCACATGAACCCCACTACCTCCAGCGGTGATAATTCTACATAAATTTATAAGTACAAAATAATATCGATATTTCTACCACTTTAAAGTTATTCAACTTCTGGGAAAAAAATGATAATTAAAATAACAACGAGAAAAGTATATGTGCATGTTATTGCAAAACACGTTTAATTTCTTCGGAACGTTTTGTTAAAATCAACTTGAAGTTTAAAAAAATCACTCCACTGATCTGTGTATTATGATTCTCAACGAAATATTTGGCATTACAATACACTTCTGGTAATATGTTTGGGTGCAGCTCATCCACAGGGTTTTGATAAAGTAAATAAAACTTTATCACATAAAATTCAGCGTATATCATTGGACTTTCAGTTAATTGGTATTAAGATGGAAGCCTACTCATGGATGCAAAAACCCAAAATTTATTGATTTTCCAATAAATTGTCCTTCCGGGTATTATAAGGATGTTGACTTTAAAAAGTTTGGGGGTCACCGGTCTAATTTTTGAGAAAATGTTGGTTGTATGTATAATCATGAGTAGGCTTTCTTTAGTTCGTCACGCAGCGCATGCTCGAATTTCATGTAAGCAAATAATGTATTTTACACACGTTGTATACGTCGCAATTAGTCCCATATCGAACAGACCGCGGAGCGACGACCACCTTTTAAAAATAGTGTTCTTCTTGTTCTAGGGAACAGTGGTCTTGATCGCGAGGTAAGTTACTTATGGATTACGTCAAAGTGGAGTGACGTCACCGTCAATTGTTATTGTTCATATAGAGGATTTAGGCCAACAGTAAAATGTGATAATCATTTAATCTCATAGTAAAGCATCCACTGCGCATGCGTTCGGTGACGCAATCAGTTAGAACTACGTTTGATTGACGCTTTCGAACGATCGCAAAGCGCGTTAATTTGTCTCTCAAGAGATCTTCATTGCATATCACCGTACATGGTTAAAGTTGCATACCCCAAGCTTAAACGGCAGGGGTCGTCGCGCTGCGCATGTGCGACATTTGTCTTGATAAACATTGATTTTTCCACAGCCAATGCGCTCTTCTAATAAAAATTACAAGTATGAGGGTTGACCTGGGCGCGACTTGCACTAAAGGCCGCCGGTGACTTTTTCGATACCTTCCAGTCATCTAACAATTACCTAATTAAAGCTAGGAAACGTCTCAGTTTGTACTCGTTGATCTGCGACAGTCAAAGCCGCCATCTTTGTTTATATGAGACACATATATATCGCGCATGCGTGGCGCGACGACAACCGCCCTTGAAATTCTTGATAGTACTTACTTCCTTTAAAAAATACATTGTGTTTTGTTTTACCCAAATGCCGATACAATTTGCACTTAACTTTTGTGAAAAGGGATCAACCAGTATATTTATTGGGGTTTGTGTTCCGTGGGACCTCTTCCCGTACACATCATCGCGCGCATAAACAAAGAGAGCAGTGTCATTCACCGCTGAGGGCGTTGTCACATTGTGATAACGGGATAACCATGGTAATAATAGAACACTTCCCTCTAATTGTTTCTTTTGAGAGTTTTCATACGTTGTACGCCCTCATTATTTCAGTCGATGTAGTCCATAAGCGGCACTGGACGCCATAAGTGCCGATTGAATAGTCTTACATTTCATATAATATTAGAGTATGTTTGAGACAATAAAGGAAATGCCATTATCACATCAATTTGTATTCAATATTGTCTATGACAGTTAACAATAGTTTAAACGAACGTGCATTTCAAGGTAAATTATATATATTCTACTTCTGTATCCGTATACCCGTTGTTTTTTCATGGTTAAAGGGCGGTGGTCGGCCCGAATTGGTTTTCCCACAATCCAACAAACTTTGGCTTGGGCGCGACATGCACTAATTACCACTAGTGACTTCTTCGATGCTTTCCAATCACCAAAGAAATCACCTAGTTAAAGCTTGTTAATATTTCAGTTTGTCCCGTTCGTCTGCCAAACAGTCAAAGTCGCCATCTCAATTTATATGAGACCCATATTTTGCGCATACTAGACGCAACGACCACCGCCTTTTATACAATAGGGTTGTTTTGTTGCTAGCAACGCATAATATTGGTTCGAAGAAATGTTGAACTTCTCCAAAATTTGAATTAAAATACATATTGCCAATCACGAGTCGTGATTCATAATTTGAATTAAAATACATATTGTCAATCACGAGTCGTGATTCATTTATAAATGTTTATAATTGTGTAATGTCTCTACTTGCAGGGAGTTGCAATAGTCTTTTCCTAAGCGTTACGCCCTCAAGCGACGAATCTCTAATGTGATGTGAAGATTATGTACATAAGTGAAAGCAACGTTGTTCAATTCGCCAACTACTGTGTGGTTATTTCTCATTTGGATTTTAGTACAATTGTCCATTGATGGAAAATAGAACAAACCAAGTTGACGCTTTCACCCAGTTATGCCAAAGAGGCGCATCATAGCTAGAGAACGCAACTTATAGAATAAGTGGATTGTTTTTCTGAACATGGGAAACGTCATACGTCGATCGTCGTTGTGGTGATGTGAAACTAATAATACCATCACTTAAAATTAAACGCCATCTGAAATACAGAGTGGCAATACGTGCTCGAAGCTGTGCGTCGCCCGCTATATTACATATTTGAAGAACAAATTCCCAACGACACCAGACAAAATAAACCGCCCTCCATAATAATTTATTGTGCAAATTATGCGCGTCTACACTACAATGACCATAAAACACAAACAAATTTGCATTGCTTTTTCCATTCCACACAGTGCTTCTCATATAAATCCCATGAATCGCTTTCAATTGAAAATGTTTTATACTGATGCGCCAGCTGTACCCTTGCTGACCGTGTATATATTCATGACAACGACGTGGCAATTGGGTACTAACCAAACCATTGTATGACAATCGAATCGATTGGAAAAAGTCAAATAGCGCAGTAAATACGGAACGTCCATTCCTATTCATGCCAGGTGTGGATAAGGATACTGTGGTGACGCAGAGTATGGCACGTCGGGGAAAATGCAAGTGTGGATACGTACTTATAGTGGCAGTGTTACTCACTTTTATATGCGTCACATACTACTACAACTACCATGGAACGCGACACAAGGTGCCTGTTGTCGGCAGCAAATTAGAAGCAATACAGGAACGATTACCCGAAATACCAGAAACCGTGAACACAAAATACAATGAGGTGAAACATTTTTTATTTGAAAACTCTGATTTATTCAAAGAACAGAGACTGAAGCCACAACAGGAAACGGGCACGAGTTCGCGTTCTGGAGAAGGCGAAGTAGACGAGAGTGACATGGTATCCGGTAGTGACACTGAGTCAGATAGTGAGTCCGATAGCGAGGGTGATAGCGAAACTGAGAGTGAGAGTGTTAAAGATGAGGATTCAGTAGCTGTTTCTGAATCTGAGGACAGTAGTGAAGATGAAGAGAGCATCGATGAGGATAGTTACTTTTCAAAAGAGGTACTTTTACATTATTTAGAATTCAACTCACACAATTGCACATTATTGGGTAATTGTAATAGTATGTTATGTTGCTTGAATGTGTTTTTCTTAAGTTATATAATCTCTTTATCAATTGAAGTTTTGTAGTACAAAATGCGATATTACATTTTTATACAATAACGGCATAAACCCTGGAGTTGGAGGATGTATACGCTTAAATTGATTTAGTTAAATTTATGCTCGAATGTGATTGCATTTTAAAATATGATAAACATGTGTACAGGTTGCAATATTTAATATGACACTGAATATGGTTAGCAACACAAGAAACAAATATTATTGCAAGCTAGATGAACTCTTTTACATTGATTGTTGTGAATGCTCACCGTGTTTAGAGAGGTGCTTCATTAACGACTGAACACCAAATTGAAGTTGCAAACTTTACAAATTAATCTACTTTATTTATTTTGTTGAATTTTATGTTTTGCCTAACACGTGCAGTGAATGAAAAATTATGTTTACCTGGTTCAATTTAGCAAATAAATTATAAACAAATATTCAAAATGTGGCATCAAAATGTGATGTTAATTCAATTAAGGGGGAGACATGTGCAAAACGTGGCAAAAATTGAACGTTGAATCACACATTCTGTAATTGTTGGTTAGCATTCTACTATAACAACCTCTATCACCTGAAAGCTTAGATGTAGGTGAATACGGTAGTACATATGTTATACCAATGTTTGTAAGGAACTACCTGTCAGTCGATTTCGCTATTGTATTTTAATTAATATTCCGACTATATAAAACACCGTGTTTTTTAAACTTTCAGTCACGCAAATGACATGTGAATTGCACGGAAATGTTGGTAACGTTGTATATACCAGCGAATCTCGGTTATTCTCTATCGGCCTCTGTTTTCTAGCTACGATCGAATAAGTACAGAAATGCTACCCGGGGCGGATTTCAACCCCTGTTGCTAAAAATTTATTAATTCCACAGTAAGCCCTATCAGTCGCATATGTGCGCAGTACTCGACGTTGCTTAGTGCAGTGGGATTATTCAAATATAGTGTGTTTGTTGTCTGGCTTAAATGTCGACAGAGTGTACTGCATATAGTAGCATCAAGCCAGACGGGCATACAGTCATGAACAACGGGTGGTTTCATATTTTTTGAGTTGCAATACAGTTATTAAATGCCTCTACACTGTAATTAGATTATTGTACGGAAATTATTCTTTAAAGAATCATAAACGTAATCTGGTTGTAATATGTTGCTATTGTATGAATAGGTAAAACACCATACACGTACAATAAATTAGAAAAATGATCACCACTAATCTTCACTCACTGTAATGAAAACCAAAATATGTTTTATTCACAGGAGAAGGGAAAGAAGGGAAAGCATACCCAAACTGGAACCACAAAAGAAAAGTTGAACAGTATTCCTGTAGATAACACAAAACAAACAGCTAAAACTGACAAGGTTGACGGTCTAGTTGACATGTCAGCTAGTAAAGAAGACGCCACGAATACACAAATCTCGGAGACAGTGGAAATAGAAAATACAATGAGTGATAAACAAAAACCGGCTGTCAAAGATGAATTTAAGACTGTTGATCAAGATACATTAACTGCTACGAAAAAGGTAATCAATAAAGAGAGTAGTTCAGAAAAGGTCGTTGGTTCTAATAAGGAGCACGAGTCAGAGGAGAGTATGCCAGAAGAATCCTCTGAAACGTCTTTCTTTCATAATTTGCAGGAATGGATTGGTTCAGAATCTGAGTCATCATCTGAAGATAATGATGATAACGAAGAAAGTGATAGCGAGGCATCGGTTGATGAAGGTGTTAACACTGAGAAATATATTGCTGGGAAACCTGAAGGTGTGCCACATCCTTCACAGTTACCAGCACATAAAGAACAATTGGGAATAGCTGAAGACACATTTGAAAGTGTTACATCAGGGGGTGCTCTCATAGTAGACGAGGCACAGCTACAGCCAGATGAGGAACAATTAGGAAACGTTGAAGACACAACTGATGGTGTTACACTAGGTGGTGCTCTCATACTAGAGGAGCCACAGCTACAGCCAGATGAGAAGCAATTAGGAAACATTGAAAACACAACTGATGGTATTACACAAGGTGGTACTCTCATACTAGAAGAACCACAGCTACAACCAGATGAGAAGCAATTGGGAAATGTTGAAGACACAACTGATAGTGTTATATCAAGTGGTTCTCTCACACCACAGCAAGCACAACAACAACAGCAACAACAGTTAGACCCAAATTTATATCATGGTGTGAGTGATAGCTCTCTGCAGTTGGAGTCAGAAGATGTTGAGGTTAATCATGTTTTAACTGATCAATCAATCGAAGCAACACAAACCGACACTGATGTCATTAACTCTGGGAACAACATGAACGAGTTGCAGTTGCAGCCAATTAGCAATCCAGAGTATATTCCGGATTTAGTTGATGGAAAACAGCTTCAATTACAACAACAGCAACATATACAACAACAACCACAACCACAATACTTACAATCTGCTACATTAGACACAGATGGGCAACAACAATATGCAGGTACAGAGAACATGCTACCAGAACCATTATTACATTTGGAGACATCAAATGAGGCACAAGAAGGATCTTTGTCTGAGATTGGGGGAGATCCGCTTTTGCTCTCAGAGGTCGCATCAATTGAACAACAACCTTCTACCGGCAATACGGGAGATATATTTAAGCAGATACCTGCTCCATCAAAGGTTGACACACAGCCAGATACAGCTGGTGCTGGAATAGAGATTTTTACAGAAGAAACTCCGCAACTGAATGCAGCAATTGCAGCCCATGAGTATGACAAAGACGGTAAAAACCGCTTATTGATTCTTTCATCTGCTCAGTACGCCTCAGCATTCATTGATCAGATTTTTAGAAATAACAAAGAATTTTTTTATGCTGTTGAACCTGGGATATCATTACGAGAATGTCTTGAATTACTATACCCAGCTGAAAGCATGTTCACTCCACGACTGGCTGAAATGCTCCATGATATTCTCCGGTGTAAGTTTGATTCACCCAATTTGCAGTGCTTTGTATCAAGTTTCAAGACAATGACAATTAGTCAGAAGATGATACAACTGCATGCTTTGGTGAATGAGCAGGTTTGTTGGAAGTCGGGTGCATTTTACGTAGGCTGCAAAGAACTTGATGGAAGTATGATGTCAAACGTTTGTTATGCTTATAAGAACATAGCAGTCAGAACACATTATATGCACGATATTAAATACGTAATTTTACTTATGAGAGACCCTACTCTGAAAGTCATCCACTTCATGCAGGATCCCCGGACCATTGCAGTGTCATTTCTTGAAACTCAACGTGGAGTAAAATCGCAATACGATGCTTTGGATTGGGACAGTAAAATACAAAATGCAGTAAGCGAATTCTGTCATACATGGACACAAAATGTAGAAACAATTCGAGCAATGCCTTCATCCTACAAGGATAGATACAAAATAGTTCGTTATGAGGATATCGAGGCAGATCATCAACATTACATCACGAAACTTTCTAAGTTCATTAATGTTTCCATCTCCATGGACATATATTCTGCTGGTGGAGATATTCAAGAAAATTTGCCCAAGTACATACCCCCAAACACCAAGCGATGGGAATTGAAGTTAAACTATGAATTAGTGCAAATGATACAAAGTTTAGTCCCATGCAAAGAGTTATTAGCATCGTCACATTACGGAGCTGTCGACTCGGAGGAAAAATTTACTACAAAGGCAAGAGCCCTAAACACACTCATGAACGAAATTAGAGAGGCCCAAAAGAATGATCAGTGAGGATTGTTTGATGAATCATATCACTCGTGTTTTTTTAGTATATGCAAGATCATTAAATGATTGATGCGTATATTTTTTTTCCATAGTACTCTGATACTGTCGAATTATTATTTCTAATGTTTACAGTAGTACGTAAATTAAATATTGTCATACCAGGGTATCTTATTACTTCTTAAACGTGTGTACCCTTTGTAATGAATGTGTCAAAGACAGTGTTACGAATAATTAACATGTGACAAGCGTGTAATGTCAAGTATTTGCATATCGGATAAACCAGTACAGCATCAATACCAGTAAGACAGCGAGACACCACCAGCTGTCAAATAATCCCGCTAAACAACACACAGAGGATTTAATGGGATTCTAGTCGCAATAGATTAAAACCATGCCATTCAACTGATTTGCGCTTTTAACATTTTATATATAAACACAATTGTGGTGATGTAAAAATATTTGAGTTGGTTTCAAATGTCCTTTGCATAGTGTTATAAAGTAATAAATGGACAGGGTGCATATACATGTGCGTTGTATTGCATATCTTCCATGGACAGTGATATTTGTGTTCACTGTGACGTACGTATTAAAACAATCGGTTTATTGGTTCACATATTAACAATCCCATCCATATATACCACTTCGCTGATTTCAGTGTCACGTGATGATATTTACAAATTATAATTTGTTCACAGCCAGCCAACCATAGACTATTAAGCAAAAGTTGAACAAGAAAACACCGGAAAAAACTACAACTTAAATAAATATGAGATACATTACAAAGCATGGCCAAATCAGTGACATCATGTGAAGTTAAACATTAACAAATAGAGACTATGAATCATTCGGACTAGAGTGATATTTTAAAATTTTCGAAATACAATGCATTAACAAAATTATCCGCGTTATTAAACAATGACGTCGTATAAAGGAGCGATATTTGTGCTTATTAGCTATAGTACTTGAATATCCAAATTGCACGTCTTGAAATCTGGTAATGTAAATACACAATTTAAACTACAATATATATGGTAACGTTGTGTGAGTGGTGGCGATGTCTGATAATTCAAAACGCTTTTTGCATAAAATATGCCACAAGCCTATTTTGGGTGCTCGATCACGATTGTATTGACATTGACAGTGTTCTGGAGGTACATAGGGTAGACTTACTCAGGTATGTATACTCAGATACTGGTGCATAAATGGGCCAGTATGTATTTTGTCATATATATTTCAATTCTCAAGATTCGAGGTGAATAGTGTACAATTTCGGACAGTTACATTGTCAAGAAAGGTTTGACGATCCTTGTTCAGATGCTACTAATTGATGAACAATGTCCGATACGTTAATAATAACTGATTACATAATACTACTTTCCAATATATATATGCAAAGGATTGGGCAGCTGTAACATAGTCTCGTTCTTTTGAGCGGATAGACAAACAATACATTGATTGGATGGAACAAAATATATTTCAAACTCAAAAGTTCACCAGTCTCAATAGTATCTATACATAGAAAGTGTAATTTAGCAAGATTCATTTTTAACCAGTCCAGATTTTAAAGTTCATATTGATTTAAAATGTAATACTGCCAGCCATCATAAGAAAGCCAGGCAACTAACACTTTTACTGGTGTAGTCAATTGATTTCTTCTTCAAATACCTGATAAATTGTGCACTACAACCAAAAGTCAATATAAAAAGACTTGTGTCGATAGTTATAATCAATTATTTCTAGTCATGTGCAAGACGGGGTATTAAAGGTTCGAACTTGTTGATTAATAATTATTGTAGCGTTTGAAGAATTATTTATTGGACTGTTTGAAACAATTATCATAAACCTAAAAGACGATGTTTAATATCGAGATTATTATGTCCGCGTTTTAATGAGTGTTGAGTGAATGGGATTACTTTCATGGAGACATAAATGTTGCCATTGATATTGAATCATCATGACCTTCTGAGACATGTGACAAACATTTCAGCATTTCGTCATTGTCAATTTATCTATGTCATACTTCAAGTTTCAATATAAAGAATTTTTCATTCCCAACCACTCTCCATGGAAGTACTAGTCAAGATTATGCCAGAAAAAAAATCATCGTTAATGACAGATCCCGTTGCGACTAGGAGAAATGTTATTCTTACCTAAGATAAATATGGCAAAAAGCAAGATGGCTACAATCTGTTGTCCTTTATCTAATCACAACTTGAATCGTTATGTACATGTAGTGCTACATGCATAAAATATGCAATCAAATATTATGTAAATCACTGGTCATGTGACCAGGTAGTCTCATGTGGCTAGGTAATTTGCTTTTGAATGAATTTGTAGTGTATAGTCAGTTATTGAGGGTGAATAATGGACTAATCGAGTATAAACAGAAGTCCAATTATTACACGACTTCTAAATTTGCAATCTAATATATGGTCACACATTTCCATTTCTCCTATTTATGGAAGGAAAGTGCACGTCTCAATTATCGTAAGTATGTGCTAGATTAATTATTATGGTGTTACCCAATGATACTCTTTCTAACAATGTTTTCATGACGGGAAATTAAAGGCACTTCACATTTTAATGAGATCGAAGTACAAATCAAACATGAACGTGTACAAAGTGACTAGCACAAATTGTATTTTTGAGAATATACAACTTGAAGCGTCAGTTAAAGTTTAATCCTGAACTTCGTCGTAATCTGTTGTAGAAGCTATTTGTCAATCACAGGAGAAATTTTTGCCATTTGTGAATTTATGATTAGTATGACAAAAATAAGAGACTTTAAATTGGTAACATGGATATAGTTGTATGGTCAAAAATATTACCGGCAGTAAACGATCTTTAATCCAATCATAAAATAAAACATTATGCACTTCCCTGCAAAACAGACATCTTTATGAAACATGTGCCAAATATCAATAAAAAACGGTACATAGGTGAAAATGATATAGTAGTATTGCCAAAAAAGGAAATGGCTGCCTACATCATATGTCATAGACATGTATCCCAACATGTATAATGTATTCTAACATGTATAATGTATCCCAACAATTTAATCGATTTAAGCAAACAGTTGTAATAATTAAATTAGCTAATTATTGTTTATATATTTGTACCAAAACCTTAACTGGTCTGGAGTCCATTACTAAATACATTTTTCATTCCAATCAACTCATTGGTTCTTGAGATATTGGCACACAAGAATAGACACATCCAGAAATCCAGACAGACAATGGTATGACATTAGCCAACCCTTTACACTCAGCACACTGAAGCAAAAAACGGTATTGTTTGCATATGAATGTTACTTTGATATTCCTATAACACAACTTTGAGTGGTATAAATGATGATATACAGCAATCCATACCATGTATATCAATAAAGGTGACTAATGGCTAAATAACCAAGGTCGATATTATCAAATTACACTGACAGGAAAACCATTAGTCCATATGCAACAAGTCGCAGAGAGTGGTGGAAGTGTAGAACTGTTTTACATGTAAGTAAGGTACATGACCTCCATGGTTTGATGCTGGAAACAACTGGCACGTTGTTTCAGTATTTTGATATTCAACTAATTGTACTATGGAGTATTTGTAAACACACTTGCTAATAGAGAGCAATAAACTGTGCAACATGTGGCACACATAATTGTATAGCAATTGAAATCAACAGACTCACTGGCCTGCAACGAAACAGGTCAAGCCATTTATTGTATGATGTGTTTTTTTTTTCAGGGCATTAATTGTACACAGATTGCGAAAACACAACCAATAAGTGACACATAAAATCAAAGATGGGGTACAGATTATAAGTTTTAATAGCTTCATATTACGACAGTAGTGTAATACACATGTATTAGATGCATGATCACATGTGGCAAATGTACATTTTTTTTTATTTTTTTTTTTATTCGAGCATTACCATCCTGCGCCGAAGGAATATAAATCTGGAAACAAGCATACGTTATGATCAAAACAGTAATACAATGCATGAAAAGCATTCACATACCAAGATTGGCAATAGATGTTCAATACTTAAGGAATAATCAGAGCATTACCGTTGTTATATCACATCAGAAAATGTTTTGATGTTAATGCATATAAAGATTATTCAAGCCATGAGATATAATGTAACAGACCACAATACGAATTGTACTTAAGTGTATTTAAATGCAACCCAGCTGTTACCATCTATGAAAGGAGGTATTACTAAAAAGGTTCATTGAATGGATAAAGTGGGTGTTTGGCATCCCTTGGAACTCTTTTCCCATCAACCTGAGGAAAAATCAGACATAGTATTATATTATCAAATACTATGAGTGAGTGGGATAGATTGATTGTTTGTAACTGGTGAAATTATTATTATTCATTGTTCATGCCTCATACACCATGACAGGTTTTTCTGCATGTCAACATAATAAAATATTTTACACATGAATATTTTTGAAAACATAATAGTTGGCCATTTTGTTCATAGAATAATATCCATAAAAAATCATGAAATATCATACAGTTGGATTGTAACAATACCTCAATTGCAGGAACACACACACGCCCAGTAGCCTCATTGTGGAGTGATTCAATTTTTTTCATATCTTCTGCACTCAATTCAAAGTCACACACCTGCAATAACATTATTTCAAACTCACTATAATCGCAGACACTTCAATTTTATAGAAAGATTCATTATTAATAATTAATGACATGCGACATGCACATAAAATAACAACGCCCTGGGGGGTGTTTATATCTTCTTGTTTCAAAATATTTTTCCCGGTAGGTGAAAGTTCTTGAATTCCTATGTCACAGTTATTGTCGTGTGCATATTGCTGAAGTTACATATTGAATATTTTGTCAGAAAAACCTGATTCTTTGATCAAGACTACTAAACATGACAGGACTACATGACTCATCTTCTTATATTATGTAATGTCATTATAGAATGTTCACAATGCACTATACTTGTGTTCAGCAGACCTAGCAGAAGCACCTGAAAACCCTAAACCATGCAAAGTTCCCCCAGAGATGACAAACATTTTATCAAATTTTTAGTTTCTAAATTATTACATGATTATTGATCAGCTTCCGATGATTTTCTTCAGTACAATTAATTTAACACATGATTTTTTTTCTGACATGACAATTGAAGCACATTTGGCAGAACTGTTTTAATTAATGCAAAAATGGACAAATTCAGAATTAAATAAATAAAGTCAAAAAAACAACCAACAACATAAAATACAGCCATATTGTAAAAGTCAATGAAATCTGAAAAGTAATGGTTTACACAGGTCACCATGCAAAATAGAAGTAGGATAATTTCTGTCCTGTGAGCAGAATGCATGTACTGTTTCTCAGTAGTATATTTGGAGATTTTTATTTAATGAAGATGTTTTTCATCAATTTTGTTTCAATCTCTATTCAAATTATAATACAAGATCAAACAAATCAGCTAGAATATTCAATTGGAAACAATGAACATTGATAACCCACTATGTGTGAAGGTTGTACTAATTTTGAATAATATCGGCCTTCATGTCTATATAGCAATCAATTATAACTAAAAAAAATTAACAAACCTAACTACACATGGTGTTCTTACCTCCAAATTCTGGGCAATTCTTGCAGGAGTGATGCTTTTTGGAATAACTACAACACCTCGTTGAACATTGAATCTGAAATAAACAAATTAAATAATAAATAAACCCTAGTCATTTTTACATAAGAATAAGACTTTGGTAGGGTTGAGGATGAGTAATGTAGTTATGAACACAGATTTTGTTAACTTCATATTCTGCTTCCCATACCCCCAATATTTAAAAGTGACCCCTATTATTTCTCTTGGTGAAATCCAAGGAGAGTTTTACAAACAATAATTTGAATGGTGGATGCTGGGGTAGTATATTGCAAATTCTCAGCTTTGTAAATACATCACAGGGATTTCCCAAATGCACTTAATAGCAGGCCATCATCATGTAACAACAGGCCAAAAAAAAATAAAGTCTCTCAGCAGTGCGAAGTGCTGCAGCGAGACCGGCGTAGGCGGGCAGAGAGTAGACGGCCAATTTGGGCTAATAGCAGGCCATATGGATGGCGGCCGGCTCTTAACAAAACCCCTGTATCAATAATATAGATAGATTTTTGTTGTACACCCCCACATTTTGTGACTGTTATAACCAACTTGTTTACAGTGGAAAATATGACCAACTGAGTGAGAGAGTAATACAATTCCATACCCCGTATGAGCCTGTGAAGAGATGTTTCACCCAGGTTGGGAAGTATGTAGGTTATGAAATGGACATGGAAAGAGCTTCTGTGCAAATGGCGCTAGATCAAGTGGGATAATGACACAAGATTTAATAGTGAAATAATACTACCCGGTAGGTCTAGAAGTGAAATGGCACTTGTTCTAGTGGCAAAATGTACTTATATTATTGTTAGTAGCACTGTACAATTTTTGTCTGATAGACGTTGCATTACAATAGTATCCTTTATTCATTACATATGTGTGAGTGAAAACATTAATAATGTATGTTATTTACTTCTATGCTACTCATTAACATTTGGAAATACAGGGAGATTGGAAAAAAATAAAGCTGTAATTATCAATTTAAATAAAATGGCTACCAGTAACTGAGGTGAAATTATAAGTTTTTGTTTTCAGACTACACCCACATAAATATAAGATAATGTATGATATCTTGCACTTGTCCCATCTGATATGACAGATGGATTCTTGAGCTACCTATTGAACCAACAACACAAACATATGATAAGCTCCCATTTTGTGCCTGAATATATTGCACATCCAAGACCATACCGGAACACCAGGAAAGAATATAGTGACTATGATCTCTCATACAATAGAACACTAACTATGCATTAATAGAGAATATATACCTGAGAGCTACCTGCGCAGGACTCTTCTTATACTTGTCACCGATAGCCTTCAGTGTGGGTTCTTCCACTAAGATGATATCAGATGATTTAGCCCAGGGTCTATCAGGAGATCCCAATGGACTAGATGCAGTTACTACGATATCCTTCTCCTTACAGAAGTTAATCAATCTTTCTTGGTTGAAGTATGGGTGGCATTCAACCTGTAATGAATGATAAGTTAATAAAAAGAAGGGGATGTGATAAACAGCCATGATGTGAATAGATGACTGAAATTGTATTATGCAATATTGCATGCATGGTTTGAAGTGTAGTTCAGAAAATGGTGATATCTATTGACGTACGGGAAAAGTCATTCATAATATTATTTATATGTAGAGAAATTATCTATGCATTAATTTTAAAGTTATGAAAAAACACCAATCAGTGGTATCCATGCAACCTTATATGATTAGACATCATACCAAGTATTAGAATTTATTCATGCCCAAAATGTGCACTAGTTAGTCCACCATATTTGATTGAAATAAAATTAAAGAGCAAATATGTATGATATGACGTACGTTTGTAGTTTTTACCAGGTTTGACAGAAATTGGTGAATGAAATGTACAAAATATTGCTCTAGAAATACACAAATGCAAATGGAACACAAAATAACAGTCCACCACAGCAATATTTATTATACCTGTAAAACTGCTGGTTTTATTCGTCCTTTTTCCAATACTTCAGCCACTTGTTTACTATTACAATTGGACAATCCAATATGTTTACATAGTCCTTCATCAACCAGTTTTTCCATTGCACCCCAAGTCTCCATCAATGACACATCGCTATACTGGATAGTTCCATCTGGATTCTTGGGGAAATTTTCACCAATATTTCTAATGATGAAGTAAACAAGTTATTTTCAATGAATGGCATAGTCCCTGTCCGGTTTTTAGTGACTGAGTGAATTATAAAATAATGGAAAGTACATGTAGGTCATCAATACGTATCGATGGATGAGTTTCAGGTTTTAGTGCCATCAGTCGGTTTCTGTGCAAGTATGGGAGTTTCATTTCTAGTTCATGGAATGTATTGCGGGTTTCTCTGGTTTCCGGTGTTCTGATGAGCTATCTAGCATGGCGTGGTGAAATTGGTGAAATTTGTACACCAGATCGTGCAAGATTTAGAGAAACGTCGGTACTCAAAACTTGTCTATTAACTGGCGACGATTTTATAGACATATGCGTCAGTCAGTGAGCTTGAATTTACCCAAGATATGATTTAGAAGAATGAGAGAAAAGATTAATTGGTTTGTTACTGGCTAATATGTATGTACATATAACTATTCTGATACAAAATATCATGTTTCATGAATAATGTATATTGTAGATTTTTAAAATAAGAATAGTAAGTGGGCTGGGATTTCTAATGAAGTTTTTAAATTGTGGTAAACACCAACTGAGCCCAAAGTACAACTGAAGTGCAGTGAGTCAAGTAAAAAGCTAGTGTCAAATTAGTTACAGTACAGTTACAGTGTTATATAAGCTGGCCTTTTCTTTTTCAGCACGATGCATTCCTATACTACATGTATGACTTGTCATTGTACCTACTGTGAACCAAATGTGTTATTAAAAACAAACACAGACATTTTAAGTTGTTTCTACAATTGGAAATTATTACAGTTATTTAAACTTACACAAATCCATATGGCCAGTGTATTAAATACAAGTCCAAGTAATCCAGTTGTAAATCTTTCAAACTCTCTATGCATGCTGGTTTCACATCAACAGCAGCATGTTTAGTATTCCAGAGTTTAGACGTAATGAACACATCTTTCCGTTCAACCACCTAAAAAATAAATAGAAATTATTGTCACTAGAAATTATTGAATCGTTTTGGTTTTGTGTCAAGTTCACTTTGATTAATTATTAAAGGTTGAGCCTATTTTGATGACACGCGTTCATGCAGTATCTGCACACAATATATTATTATAGGACATGGTACTGGATTAAACCTACTACAAACAGAATAGAATCTAGACATGTTTATTCACCTTCCCTCCCCACACTCATTACCTGCTCCAACAAATACTCATGCATATTCATGAGCCTAAAATCATCAATCCTAATGACGCTAGTAAACTACAACACAGGCAAATGATGTGAGCATTAAACCTTGCTTTGGTGAAATTTGAAAAAGCAACCGATATTTTCCTAACTAGTATTTTTTACAATTTAAATTAAATTTTACTTTTCTTTTTATTTTTCCAGTTTAAAACATGTTGGATTACTGGGGCCTTCATCAATTGTCTTTTATTTCTATATGTAACACATAGTCATTGTTCACTAAGCCTCACAGATCATTGATACAGTGGGACAAATGTGTAGAGGAAAGATAAATGTTGGGGCTTGGCACAGGAAAAATACATGTAGTTCATCGATATAGTCACTAAGACTGGAAGCAGGGGTGACAAAACCAGGCGGCACACACAGACACTTCAACTTCACAATCTTTAATGCAATCTACTTCAGTAACATAATCAAAGGTACAAAGATTAGCATATGCGTATAAATATGTGAGGTAATATATCCCTAAAATATATCAAAGAAAGAAAACCTAATCTTAACTAATTAGAGATTGAGTATAAATGTGCTAATCAGTCCCTCAATGAATAATAAAATCAGCTAATTTGTCCCTAACAGAGCCAATGTTATCAACAATAAATGAAAAAATAACCATCAATCAATCAAAAAACACAGATGTGAACATGGAACGAACACATGAATATTTCAACAGTTCAGCATCAATGTTCACATCAGGTCACAGTTCACTCACAGTCAGCTTCTGTGCACGGATCCCGAGATTTTATACAATCCGCTGTTGAGGACGTTGCTCAGCAAAATTGGACGTGGCTTGGGTGTGTCCACAGATTACTCAGGTAGAGCATTAAGGGCGCTGTTCAACAACTTGGGCATGGCCAGGGTGTGCATGTCCACGGACTACCCAGGTACAGTGCTGAGGGCACTGTGCAATACAGTGTTATCAAAAGTTAATTTGTAGAAATTCAGAACAATAGCCATAATCAATCGTAGTAATTCAGAAATAGTTGTACTGTTCTCTGTACAGTGAGACACACATTGACTACAGATCCCAACTCACAGTACAAGCCTTATTCAGCGGACAGTTGGAATGTAGAAAAGTTGAGAAGAAGAATTACTATACCCAGCATAGTTACAGCCGCCATCAGATGTCACCAGTCAGCTTTTCTTGTGATGAATTGATGTCACCACAGAGTCACCGAAAGTTCAGGGTGAGATTCACCCACTCCTGTTGTATAGGAAATCTTGAAATACAGCTGGAAATGTTGATTCTGGTTCCTCTTCTCATAAACAAGCTGAATACGAGCACTACATCCCAACTAAATCTTGTTTTAAGCACGAATACAACTGCTTTCCACAGAGTTGTCCCAAAACACTGTGGAACATCCGGGAACTATCTGCTAACTAATTCAAATGTGCAAGCTTTAAACTTATATCTTTACTGGGGGGTTATTCCAGCCAGCCATGGGTCAAGGATTCCATCATCGGACAAAGATGGTGGTGTTCATTTTGACAGGCATTATTTAAATGATTTTAAAATTCTCTGATCCCTATATGGAGTGAAACACAGCTCTGCCAATTGATTCTGAAAAAGTGGGGAATTGCCTGGAATGTGCTTACAGCTTTTGAAATCTGGATAACAAGGTATAACTGTGCATGATTATCAATAGTGTAAAATTAAAATCTGAAAGGAGCCTGCATCCAAAACACTATAATTACATGTCTAATTATTTAACTTAACTAATTAATATTAATCACCTCAATTCTTTATTAAGCTATTCTATTTAGTTTCTGCCCTAATTAGCACTATGTAGCCATTAACTTGCTTGTACATTTATAGGTGATTTCATCTTCAAGTTGGTCTCCATGGTTACCCCTATAGCTACCAAGAAAGCTCTGTATAGGAAATTCACTTCAAACACTGTAATTCTGAATTAGCAATGCTAATAAATCTTTTCTAATTGTACTCATTAACACATACATGTAGTTGGCTTTGACCTACTTCTTACTTTCCCTGCAGTTTTAACTGAAGTTCACACACAATAGCCACTAAGTACCAGTTACTCTCACTGATAGTGAGTTCTCAGGTATCAAACAAAAGTAACAGCTGGTATACGTACATTGACATGAATATGTACTAGCTATCGTACATTGACATGAATATGTACTAGCTATCGTACACAATTGACTTACATCACATGCTCAATTAGAACCTACTCTTAATCGTATGAAATCATTAACTGCTAATTATTTCAATCGGTTACATATAGACTGTCAACAGACAGTATTAATAATCTAGCAAGTTTGGAGTACTGTTAGGCGCAGCTGACTGTCTGGGCTGCAATTCACTGGTAAGATTTCTTACCAGGTCTGGGTACTTTCATATGCAAATGAAATAGATGCAGAGATGTCTATCATTTTATCGTGACCAATAGTGAAAAGGGTCAGATGTTGCTATAGTGGGGTTGCACATGACTTACACAAAGTTTGTTTGACTGTTTAATGCACAATCACAAAACTTTCGACAATAGATGAACTATTCAATTATAATAGTAGTTTTTGATATCATATGACACAAAAAATCTTGACAAATGCATTATAAAAGTGCTGGAACATTTAGACTACCATGATATTTTTTGCAAAGAATACCAGTGAGACACTATTGCAAACTATATAGAGGGGAGAGATGTGTTCTTGAGCAAACCTACCGGGAGCGGCAAGTCATTGACCTATGAAGTCAAACCTTTTTGTCTAGATTTTCAACTTTTTGGAGAGATTGGACTGCACCCCCAAGTCGATAATTGCCATTATTTGTTCTTATGAATAAATAAGTAAATAACCTCATGGAGAAGGAACTGGCTGCTGTTTATATCGGGGATAACAAACTTGATACAGAATAAATACATTATTACTACCTTATACTAAAATATATTTGGATATTTAGAGTACTAACGAATTCCAACTTATGGCCCGGTTAGACTTAAAATACACCACGAATATTCACTTTTGAGAGATCATTTTGGTATGTGTTGGTTCTTGGATATCTAAGCTTCGTCGTCCTGTACTTCGTTTAGTAATTCGAACTTCCCAGTTTGCGTAAAAAGGGAGAGTTTCACGATTTTGACATTGAAAATACCTTTGCTTCATTATTTGCTGAGGGACGGCCGCTTAGTTATGTGATCTGTAATTACAGCACATGAACCAAAAATCGTTAGGTAATCAAAAAAATTACGTTGTACTAAAGTCCAAGGAGTATGTTCAAGGTCTTCATTTTTTTCGTAGCATAAAAACAATTTACTCCCTCGCTTATTGTAACACCCTCAAATCAATTGATTTCCATTCCCCTCAAAATGGTATGTGCCTCCATTTTACGCTACGACTAGAAAAAGTCTTTTTGCTTGACGTGTTAATTTGCCTTCAATTACGTTTCAGTGGCTGTCACTGTCGCATTCTGAGTTTTGCCGATAACATTTTGGTTCAAATCCATGTAGCTATCGCCGAAAATTCAAGAAATCTTTCATTTCTTTGTCAACTAACATGCCGGAAATAAAATTAGCATAACAACGCGTTCGAAGGTTGTTGCCATTTTGTTCGACAGCTTTCCACACCAGTGCCACAGCACATACAACTAAAACATTTAAACTTTTGTTGGGAAATTCATTTGTAAATTGCGTTTTTAAGTCGCGTACCATAAATTGCATTTTACAGGCTACAAGTTTCTTCCAAAGACTGCAGTTGCACCAGAGATAACCAGAACATTGATTCGTTTCAAAAATGTTCGTCGTTAAATTTGTGTTTAAAAACGTGTTTGACCTTTGTGAATTGATAAGCAAACAATCATGGTAGATTGGCCCGACTTTCTGTCGATCATAAACACAAGGGAGATAAGACTTGATTTTCATAGACGCAGGTCATTTGGATCGGACGGTTACTTTTGTTTCAGGTTCGTTGTTGTTTTGGGTGAATATAGAACATGTTCAAGCCCAAAATTGTAGCAATAACGTCGCTGTACATTAAAAAACACTAAGATTGATGATTCGATTGCTGACCGGGATAGCTGCATTTAGTGTTCATTTCTATGCAATATAAAATCATATTGAAGCTGTGGGCGGCGAAGGCTGACAGATTATTTTGGTTCTGTGGCCGGCCCTCATGGCACGGGCAACTGACATTAGCTGACTTTTTTTTACTATTCTGACGTGTTCTGGGCTGTATATAACAGTCAGACACTGACAAGTAAGTAGGTTGGTACTAGTAAACGGCCCTGGACATAGCCAATATAGGAGTCTGAATCAGTTTGGCCCTGAAAATAGCGTCATCGCACAGTATTCCATTACTGAACGAAGTTCACATAACAATCTTATGCCTACAAATCATTCCATAATTATTAACAAGTTTTTACTAACTTAAACAAGCCGGTAGGCTGGTTGGCGATCGGCTCCACTCACGGTGCCACGGTAGGCACCGGGCACCATATACGAAGTTCGTCAAAAAAACACTCAGTCTTTAGAAGTCAATATATTTTATTGCTAGGGCGTATTCTGCTGTTAAATTTATTATTTCCAACTGTTTTGCGATAGTATTTTCTAGATTGAAGGCAAAATAGTAGCCAAAATAAAAAGCATGATCATTTGAACACGGCTATGATTACAAAACTGGTAGGAGATAATAAATTTGAGGCGAAAGTATTCACTTTTTGACTGTTGCAATAACAGTGATGGGCCAGGTTTTTTTTTTCAATTAGTGACGGTACGACCTACCTGTTAAGTTTGAACAAAATCAGCCAAGCCAAAAAAATCACAGAGGAGTTAAAAGTTGTTGCTGATGAAAAATTGATGAGGTAAATTTTCTCGGTAATGAAAATAGACATAAGAAAAACAAACAGCATATTTTTGCCTAAACCCAAGCGAAGTATAATGAGCTCCATGCTTTTTAATTGTAGAAATGTAGGGTGAGATACATTTGGCGCGAATGTATTAACAAAATCAGTTTTTTGGCTGTTGCCAAACATACGGTGGGCCAGAATTTGTGTTCAGATTTTACAACCTACCGGTAACTACAGTGAAGGTGTGATTTGCCTGCAATTTTGAACTGATTCGGCTAACCCCAAAAAATCACAGAAGAGTTAAAAGCCATTCCTGGTGAACAGTTACCCCAACTTTGGAGTCAAATTTCACGGTACCATAATGAAAAAAAATTCAAATAGTAACTTTGTGCCCACACTCAAGCTGAGTAGAATGAGCTATGTCAGGGGTGTTTTATCCCAAATTTGCAGGAAATGCATTTCTTTGGCTGTTTCTATGGCAACGGTGGGACAAATTGTTTCCAATAACTAGGGTGAAAGTGTGACCTACCTGCCAATTTTGAGTGAAATCGGCCAAGCCAAAAAAATCACTGAAGAAATAATATGTGAAAACACTGGAAATTACACACACACACATATATAAACCTACAAAAATGATTATAAGGGCAATCCTAGCGGAGCGGATCGCCAAAAAGTGATTATAAAGGAAATCATGGTGGATTGCCAATATGTTATTAGTACTAACAAATTCCCACTTTCGGTCTGATTAGAATTAAAATACACCACGAATATTCACTTTTGAGATTTTTGGTATGTGTTGGTTCTTGGATATTTCAGCTTCGTCGTCCTGTACTTCGTTTAGTAATTCGAACTTCCCAGATTGTGTCAAACCGGAGAGTTTCTTGATTTCGATATCAAAACCGCCTTGGCTTGCTGGGGGGGGTGGGGCGCTTAGGTACGTGCTCTGCAACTTGCAGATTCAAGTTGACAATCCCTAATACTGCTAAGTTGTGAACTTTATCAGGATTCCCGTATGAAGTTACACATCATTGTAGCAAGGAAAAATTGGGGTTGGTAATGCCAAGCAAGTTTATAAAATACAGTACAGTAGCAATAACAGTATACCGGTAATAAATAAGTATAAATAATGTAAATATATACATTCCTTTATTTCATTGTTGCGACTTTATATAGTTTGTTACGTACTACAATTTATCTATATTGGAAAGCGGTTATGGGGATTATTAATATCAATAAACAATATTCAACTATCCTTTGCAACACCAATAAGATCATAATGGTAATGTTTATTGGTCTTTGAAACTAGAGGCAATATCAGAGCATGTGTCTTATTTTGGAACTCCTGCTAGGATGGTATTCCCAGAATAGTGCCAGTTGTTAAAGAAACATATAACTTTAATTCTCAGCAAGAATGAAAGGACCAGTTACTGAAACAAAGCCCTCTCCACGCGAAACCCTACAGATACAAACCCAATTACCGCGAAAGCCACTCACCGCAAAGCTACTCGTGTTAATATAATTTATTTCATGACATAAGCATCAATTATGATTATTCATATCAACTAGAAACTTGCAGAGGGGGACGGCCTCTCGGGACTAAAGTCGCATTTCCCATCTCTAGAATACACAATTATATTAGGCCCGAGGACTGTCGACAGTCCAATTTACCTCCATACCATGACCCTCTCCCATACAGACTAGGCGTGCAGTTTATTACATTCGTCACAGTCCGTCTGCATTTGTATAACTTTTCCATTGATAAGCTGCCAATTAATGTTTCATTAAATTTCAGGATTGAGGGTGGGGGCGGGTGGGGGCGGGTGGGGGCGTTGAGGGACGGGGTCCTCAAGGAACTCCTAGTAAATCGCCAAACAAAACAAAATGTTGCACGCTTGGATTTCTTTTCCTTTGATTGGCCTGAATATATAACGGGAAATGTTTACAGGAAGGGACTTCCCAGTTATCGGTGCCAACCAATCGAATAACAAAATAAGACAAGATATAGCGACAACTTACGGAACCAATCGTCTCCTTGAAAGCATCTCCAACTTCTTTTTCATTTCCATAACATGCCGCACAGTCTATATGACGGTAACCGCAGCTGAATGCCGATTTGACCGCATTTTGAACCTCCCCCGGCTTACTTTTCCACGTGCCGAGTCCAACCAATGGTAATTCAACGCCTGAAAACAGTTTTACACATTTTGCCATGGTGGAAGTCAGGATGATGGTAGAAAAGAATTTGTAGAACAAATGACAATTTATGAATTACCACCTGACCTAACCATATGAACTTTAACGGCAAGTCGTAAAACATTGAACTTTGACCTTTGAAGTAATATTAATACTAAGATGTTACTTTACTTTTCTAAAAGTTGCGTATTTTTTTCACAAGCAAGTCTCGACTGTAATTTAATAGATTATTAGAACAAATACTAATTCTAAGTCTAATTGTCTAATTTAAATATTGCAGACGACGCATTGTTGCCGTAAAAGGGTCAAATCATTTTGATCATGGCCGGCGATTCTGTGGCAGAAAAGCAGTTGGGTTGCCAACATTATAAAAGAAGTTGCTGTCTCCTGGTAAGGTTGTTGTAACTGTCGAAGTGGCGTGTAACATTCACAGTTGTCCAGTTATTGAAGTAACGCTGTAACTTAATTTACGTAATCATGATTGGTGTACATGAAAACCGTTAACGTACAAAAGTTGAACATGTTGACTTTTTGACTGAAATACTGTTTTTTTCAAGTTGTCAGACACCTACACACTGTAGCCACAGTCAAATGGCATGTGTACATGCAGCGATACACATGTCAGCTGACTGTGAAAGGCGTTGCTAGTTTAGTATATAATAAGCGCGAAGAAAAAAAACAAATCTGCGTTTCTCGTAACAGGCTGGATATTTTAATTTTCTTTCCCCAATAGACTACCTTAATTTTAACAATTAATTCATTTATATCACTATATGGATTATGTTGAACTAGCTTTTATTAATATGAATAATAATAACTGCCATGATGTCAGCATATCGTTTTTTAATTGGTTAATTTGAATTCCATTTCATGTCATTTCATAAAAAATTATATTTATAAAATGCTTGTAACATCCCCAGTTTAGGGATGTTTTGTGCTACACTTGTTATATTTTCTTGTATCTAAGCTTTCATATGCAGCATGCTTAGTAACCTGTCCTATCTGTGTAAACCGGTCGCTTACTCACAAGGTTTGGAAAACACTGCACTGAGTAGCATATTCATTCTACCATTGTCATTTGGCTGTAGGCACCATGCTGCAACAAATTTTACACCTGTCGAATTTGCCATGATGAAGTAGAAGAACATACTCTATGTCGTACTAATGTACAGAAGATTAAGTGCTTGAAGTGTCAACATGTACAGGAGGTATTGTTTATTTTAATTGCTTCACAATATTTATTATTCGCTGATATATATACAGTACAGTCCTGGGTAACTTACCCTCCAAGCTTGCTATCTCCTAACTTTGCCTTTTCATAAAAACTTTTAAATTCAGTATCATTCTCATCTCTAATTTCAACTTATGCTTTATAGCATTTACCTATATTAATAATATAAGACATATTTAGATTATTTATATATAATTAAGTTGTGCTATAGTTCTGAAGATGCAAATGAATAATACCTGCTTATGTACTACTCTGCCAATAAGTTTAATGAGATATGACATGTGGTCAGGGAGTATGTATTAAGCAGATCCATTAAATAATACACCAATTAGCAATGTTGACAAATGGAGAGTTTCAAAAAGAGTTGTGGAAACAAAAATCAATTTTAGTATTTTTTTCACTTATGCGTGGCCTTTTTTCATACCGAGCAGAAATGAGAGACAGTCATTCATTTTTTGTTCGTGCATTGGCAATCGTGAAAATTTATAGCAGCAGTAAATTAAATGGTTTACAGTATATCTGATCAAATGACTATGTATGCATATCTTGTTCTGTGGGAGAGTCTCAAAACTGGTCTCAAATGCCTTCTAGAGGGTATCGTACATACCTCCTTGTTCAGGTAGTTCCACTCTGATGAAATTTGCCAACCAATTAGAGAGTGGTTTACAATGAAGCAACTTTACTACATTTTTGTACTATTTCTGATTGGTGCAAGGAAGACTGAACATGCTGTTCTGTGAAAGCCTTTTTCTACATTAGATTTAAATTAGATGGATACAGTGCTGAACAAAATTATTGTTTTCTTACAGGTGCTCAAAAAATGCTGTAATTGTGGCGTAGATTTTGCAAATTATTTTTGCTCTGTATGCCGACTCTATGACAACGCTGACAAAGGACAATATCATTGTGATGACTGTGGAATCTGCAGGTGGGTGCCTTGCTTTAGCAATTAATTTTATGCCAATATATATTGTTGCAGGTACATGTAACAATGTCATCTTTATAATATTACAACCTGTGGTCTAAAACTAGCTTTGTTGGATGGTGGATCAATAAGATACGTTATTTTCTGGATTACAGGGTTGGTGGTAAAGAAAATTTTTTTCATTGCACTAAGTGTGATATGTGCCTAAATAAAAGCCTTAAAGAGAAACACAAGGTTTGTATTGCATTCATACTTGTCAGTGATGTGTGTTCATTCATATTTATTTATTGTATGTTTAAAAATACTTAGTTTTCAAACCATCAAGTGTGTAGTTATACATGTATATGAGACGGTTACTAAACATACATTCATTCATTCATTCATTCATTCATTCATTCATTCATTCATTCTCCAGTCAATCATTCATCCATTCATTCATTCATCAGTCAATCATTTAACCTTCAATCAATCAACATCTCACACTTATTCACTCACATATGCTCTGACTTTCACTGATTCGTTGCAGTGAATTAAATGTTGTGTACAAGAGTTCATCACATGGATGTCATGCTATTTTTGAATATATTAATACTGATATAATTTTTTTCAGTGTGTTGAGAAGGTATCAAGAGCAAACTGTCCAGTTTGTTTGGAGGTATAGTAGCATTGTATATACATACAAGCTTATTATTCATTGCACAATATTTTCATGTGTGTGAAAAGTCTAAACTGTCTGGGTTCCTCATTGTTCAGCATTTTATGGCATTCATTATGTTATTCATATGAACATAAGTGTTTATATTAATTTAACTGGGAAATAAATTCTAAAAAAGTAAATAAACCTTTTTGGGGGCCGAATGTTTGACCGAAGTATTTTAGCAGTGAGCTGCAGAATATTTTTCTCTTGTTGATTTAATAAATGAAAAAATAAATGAAATATTCTGAATATCAAATGATTTTCCAAAATAAGTCCTGACACTGACCTCTATTTCTATCTTTATTCTAACTATCATTGAGGTAACATTGGTTGTTTGCTTTGTATCACAGGATCTTCATACCTCTAGGACGGCATCTCATGTACCGCGCTGTGGACATCTCATACATGAGTAAATATACATACAATGTTGGTTTTTGTTGTGCTGTGTATATATATATGCAATGTATTATGTGAGAAGTTTATAAGTGAAAACTATTACTGTACTTCCCCGATCATCAGCCCCTCCCTGAGTATAATTTTATTTTTATTTTTAGACATGTAATAAGTTGAGGGCATCCCCGGGTATAAGCCCAGGGTGTTTTTACTGGGCGTCCATGACATTTATTAAAATATGCATGTAAAAAGCGTGTTTCATTGCATAAAAATCATGATTGGTTTGGTAGTTTGGTTCCTGCTTTAATGAGAAAACTTGCATGGCAAATGTACACAACATGGTTTGCACCTATTCTATTCTGTTATTTACTCAGGATGAACCCCAATGTTGCAATACTGAAGTAATTAATATTTCTTTTGAGTAGTAGTTTTCGAAACGCCAAAAATGGGATCGTCAAGTCATAGAACATTTTTCTTTTCCGAATAATCATGTCCATTGAGACTATGGTCTTTGAGTGCAACCCTACTCCTTACTTTTCTTGATTTTACATGTTCGGGAACCTGAGCTTATGGTAGGGGAAGTACGGTATCTAGAGGAAGCATAAAATATAGAGCCTTACTGCTATACGAGGCGATTTGAACGCTTGCTGCTCTACTTAACGTATTGGCTGCTGAAAGCCTCTACAGATAGTCACAAAAATCTAGTGTATGTCATCCTCTTCATGCTTTCATTATAATGCATTTAGTCCTATTACGAATACAATACCCCAAAACTGCCAAAATGTCTTAATAATTATTTTCAGCAATGAAACAATTTTTTCCATATTTTGAAATTGTATTTGGTGATATGAGATAAGAAAAGTTGCATTATTACTCAATCAAAATGTTAATATTTTAAAAAAAACATTTAAAAAATTGATATGCAATTGATTAGATTGCAGCAGGCATAACTTGGTGGGTTATTCATGCTATTCTGAAGCAGGGTGCAATATATGAACTACAAACATACATCATTCTATTCTTTGAATTTTTCAAGTAGATGAACAAGTTGAGCGCAGTCTTAAAATAAACTTCATATTCAGTCACAAAATCACAAAATGATTTTAATCATCTGTGAATGCAAGTTAATTATCACTATTATGATATTAATAATGAGACATGATGGCTTGGTTTTGAATATATCATTTCATTAATGAATCAACAAGCTGCACTGGTGCTATTAAAATTATAAATATTTCCATGCTTTTTCAGAGAAATTAGTTAACATAAAACAAGAAGCAAATACTATATGATGAGATTGTTATCATCATGTTTGTTTGTTTTTTTGATGGAGTTGAAACAATATATAACCTCTACAAAGAATGACAACATTGCACATGTTAGTAGTCTAATGTTACGTTTCTTTAATAATATTGAGAAGGAATACAAAATGTTACATCTTTGTGTTTGCTGTGTTTTGTTTTCATATATCACACTTTATGTGTTTTTTGAGATCAGATAATACCTGCCTATAATGATTCTGCAATTCAAAAATTAAAATTTTTAACAATTCATTCCCCAAAATAATTGTACTTTCATGGAGTGATTATGGTAATTATAAATATCAATTATATTAATTTATTTAATATATACAGTTTGTTTGGCTTTTAAAAATAACTGCTGTTTATTCATTATGGACTTAACTGTTTTTAATTCCTGGTTTATATATACCGAAGTAGTTACTTTAACATAATGTTGTCATTTATTGCAGGACTTGTTTTAAGGAGCTTATAAAATCCGGGTAAGTCTGATGCATGCTAGTACTCATCACAACAAAAAATTTAGTCCAGATTGAATTTGGGAAATTTGGTGCATTTCAGAAAGGTCCCCACTTTTGTCAAAATTGTTACATTACACACTGATAATCATTTTAAATTTACCTTTTTCTTCCTGAATTAGATATTAGGTTTTTTCAATTGGTAATATAATATACATTGTATAATTGAAATGAAACAATATTCACCGATATTTTTGTCAATTAAATTATCATTTATGTACAAATAAAAGAAATGAAAAATGAAACATCCCAAATTAAAAATAGGATTTTCGCAGCTAAAATCTAAATTGTGATTATATACTACAAATTCATGAATTTGAATCACATCAAAAACCAAAATGTTAGATTCTAGAAAATATTAGAAATTTACTTTGCTGTCATTAGCCACAGACCCAATGTAGATTGTTATTGTTCAAACATTCACATATCGCCTTTCATTTTTGACCATGCAATAAGGTTGCTTGTTTCAACTTTTGGACTTATTCGTGTGTGTTTGTAATGTTGCAACAATGTTACAGTTATTATTGCAACACAAAGCCGTGCCAGAATTGACTAATGTAAAGATTTGAGAATCTGTTTGCCTGAATCTCGCATTGAACCAGTGACATAGACGAAAGTCGTGCATTGTTCAATTTACAATGAATTGATATATGATAAAAGAGCGTGTTGGAGATGATGAAAAGATGGAACAACGCCAACGAGGAAGTATCACGACTCCGGCCTCTGTATGTGGTCTGTGGTGATTTTCAGGCTCCAGCAAGGCGTCGACAAGAAGTGAAGATGTACAGGTGACTAAGCCCAAACAAGCTTATTGTGTGGTCAAAAAGGAAAGACGATATATGGATGTTTGAAAACTAAGAAAAATCAAAACAAAAATATATGTAGGCCATAACTTGAAGTTTGGTTAACAGTTATTTAAACTTTGAGTTACAGAATGTTGACGTTCAACAAAAACCAAAATATATGTTGCCTGTAACTCTAAGTTCTGTTAATTGAGTTACAATTTGGGCATGGTTTCACAAAAGTGGGCGTGGTTTAAAAAATATGGGCATGGTCATTTCTGTAACTTGATGTTTTTGTAACTCAATGTCCATAACTCGAACAATTCAACATCTCATTAGTAGTTTATTTTGGGAATACATGTACACACTGGCTGTGTATAAGCTATACATTGTATGTAGCAGTATATTTTAAGAATATATGCTGTGACTACAAATGATTGTCTCTTGATTTCAGAGGTTACAGTTGTCCCATGTGCAATCAGTCCATGCTTTCTATGAAGAGTGTTTGGGAGTTGCTTGATAATGAGATTCGAAACACTCCAATGCCTCATGAATATGCAAATTACAATGTACAGGTGAGTGTTGATCAAGTGATGGTATACAACCAATTGTAAGGATACATCATCATTAGTTTTCTCCTTCTGCCTTGCACTTGATCTCACTTTGTATGCATTGGTGTGCCTGCATGATGAAAAAAAGAACATTATTTGTTTTTCAATATTTAACAATGGTTTCTCTGGAACTTCTTTGTTGGCTATCAGAAAGCATTAGTTATTGAGTAGAATCATAAACCATATTAAACAAGATTTTTGTTATAGTAAATAATAATTGAGAACAGAAAACGAGAAATGGCAACCAGTTTCCCCATATACTAATTTTCTCTTCATTTTTAGTAAATTAAAAGAAAAATCTTGTTTTGATTTCGTGCAACAAATCAACAGCTGCAAAGCAAACGTTGAATGGGTTTAACCTGTTTTGTCCATGGCTTCACGTAAGCAACTGTTTCTTATGCCCAAGTTTATTTATTATCAGATTCTTTGCCGTGACTGTCACAAAGAATGTCGCGTGTTGTTTCATGTAATTGGAATGAAATGTAAACACTGTGGTTCTTATAATACATGTAGAACAGCGAACGATGATCATACTCTGCATGCTGTGGAGCCATCTACAGGTAGGTGCATTGGCCATCATCGGTCTGTCCATCATTCAACCAATTTCTGATTGAAATTTGAGATTTCATAAAGGATAGGAAAACAGCATATATTCTCGCTATATGCCCTCGTAGTATGAAAACTCAAAATGGTAATGAATGATTGTAATCGCCTTAGCGAGCCAAGGTGTATAAAATGTTGGTGTCATGCGAAAGGTCAACTTTATTTCTTCCATTAGAAGCACATTTCCAGTAGATTCGCACTTGAACCAAAAATTACTTGTACCACTTTTGGTTATGTGACCCATTCTTCAGGCTTGTAATTCAACACATGTACCTTGTACCTTGTAACTTGTTTATGACTGAGACACTTCAGTCAGGGTAAATATCTGGAGATGACATTGAGATTGTTGGCCAAATAAGGGGTTCAAACCCACAACATCAACCACAGCAGGTAGAGCCTCTAATGACTGAGCTATTGCATTTTGGGTTTCTGGGACAAAATGAGTATTAAAAAGGTCATGAGCAAATAACAAAACATAAGATGCATCTTTTGTATTTATTATTTATGTCAGTTAAAATAAGTTGAGTGTTAAATTGTGCACTGGTTGTGCAACTGATTTCTGGCACCCTCACGCAATTAACTTGACTCTGGCCAAAACAGTGGGTTTATATCTGTAAACCCACACTAATGCATATACCTTGGTTTTGCTCTCATTAAAAGCACATCTCTAATAGACGCATACACCAAGGTGATTTACAGAATAATATAAACTTTATTAAAAGAGCACAAATGGTATATGCTATCATAGTTAAAAATAGATGGCTTTTCTTGGTGTTACTGGACAAATTTGTTTCAATTCAACTATAGGCTTGATTTTCCATTGATTGAATGATTAGCTAGAACCAGTAATCAGGGTTGTGATGAATAAAACTGCAAGTCTGTTTTATTCTAGATGCTGCAAATCCAGATGAGATGGAAGCGAGTAACGGTAACATGCGTGATGGTGAACAGGTAGACAGCAATACTGATACAGCTGATTCTAATACTAAGTAGTTTCTGATCACCACAACACTGTAGATGATAAAATGTGATTGGTGAATGAAACATTTACTTTGAATTATAGATCCTTTATTATAGAGCTCATGTATGGGTAGTAACTTCATTTTCACTACAAGGTCATTCCTAATTCATTACCTGTGAAAATAACTTCCATACCCAACAAACATCAGGCCATGGTGCCAGGCAAGGCCATGGTGTTCTATCTTTTACACATGTCATGAACTTGCTGACTTGACCAAAAATTACAGCGCTTGCCAGGTGCAATGTTTATTCTAATTTTGTTGATGTTTATTTCACGTTAATGGTGTGTTGATTAATATAGCTCCAGCTCCATGTTTTAACTCCAGCTAAAATCGACAGTCAGGCTTACAATAAAGCACCCACCCTGCTGTCAGTTGTAAGTGTGAGATGAAACAATAGTCTGCAAGACTGCCATTCCATGCATGTGACAGTGTCATGCAATGTCACACTTTAGTTCATTTGGAATATATACAGTGACCCCTTGCTAAGTCACG